GGGGCCACCACCGAGAAGGCCCTGTCCCTCATCCCCACCAGTCGCACTTGTGATAAAGGTGGGGCCGAGAGCAGGGCCTCCCTAGAGGATCTTAAACTCCGAGGTGGGACGTACAAGGAGATACGTTCGGACAGGTATGCTGGGCCGGAGCCATATAGGGTTTTATAGGTCAAAACCAGCACTTTGAATTGTGCTCGGAACTGGATCGGCAGCCAGTGGAGCTGACATAGCAGAGGGGTGGTATGCTCCCTGTATGATGCTCCGGTGAGTAATCTAGCCGCCGCCCGTTGGACTAATTGAAGTTTCCGAACAGTTTTCAAAGGCAACCCCACGTAGAGCGTGTTGCAGTAATCTATTCCGTATTAACAAGAGCGTGGACCACCGTGGCCAGATCAGCTCTTCCAGCCACCGCTGAGACCTGGGGTTCCTGGCTCAGAGATGAGTCCAGGATCACTCCCAAGCTGCGAACCTGCGTTTTGTCAGGGGGAGTGTAACCCCGTCTAACACAGGCTGTAACCCTATGCCCTGTTCGGTCTTACGACTGACCAGGAGGACCTCTGTCTTGTCTGGATTCAGTTTCAATTTGTTAGCTCTCATCCAGTCCGACACAGCAGCCAAGCACGGTTCAAGGTCTGGACAGCCTCCTTGGTGACAGGTGAGAAGGAGTGACAGATTTGGACATCATCTGCATAGAGATAACACCTCAGTCTGAAACTCAGGATGATCTCTCCCAGTGGCTTCATGTAGATGTTGTGAGGGGGTGTCAGAAGGGTCACCAAAGACCATCAGGAAACACAGTATTTTCTGTTGGTCCTGGGAGTTCTGTGTAGGAAGATTGGCCCAATTCTATCATTGGTGGGGTTCAGAATGTTCTTTTACTTTGCCCATATCTATGGTAGAGGGTAAACAAGTTGCACATATTTATTTTATTATTATTTACAGTATTTCTATACTGCTTTTCTTATCCCTAGGGGGACTCAAAGCGGTTTACCTATAACTGACAAAACTTCAATGCCATACATTGGACACTGACGCGATGCCAAACCATAACAACAATAATAAAACCACAATTAAACATAAATCATAATTAGACAGTACATAAGCAATCATTAAAACAATAAATAATAAAAACATTCTCGCCAGTCGTATTGTCATTCTAGTCCATGCCCTTTAAACTCTACAAACATCTACTGTCCAAGGCCTGACATCAAATTTGGTACACCAGACACCTAGACATTTCCTTACACTAAAAATATTTTATTTTTGTCATTTGGGATTTTGTAGTTGCTGGATTTATAGTTCCCCAACGAATCAATATATCATTTCTTGAACTCCATCCACGATTTCAATTCCCCAATTGTGCCACATAACGCCTCCCTCCAAGAGCAAATACTGGAATGTTTTTGTTGTTGCATTTGTCCTTTATTTTGTAGTTGTATTTCACGCTACATCCCATCATATCCTTTTTACCTCACCGCAATTATATGTATCTTTTAGCCCAACTTTTCACAAATACATGCCCATATGCCCAAATATTAACACATCTTGAATTTTTGTTAAATATACCCTGATATTTGGTCTTTATATTTCGTGGCAGATTTTATCGTTCACTACAATCCAATAGCTACTCTTAACCCTACCACATTTACCGAAATTTTGGTAAACTTCCCACACCATAACCTTTATTCCCAACAGAAACATGACTTCATGTTCATCCATCCCTTCCTCCCTTCATTTGTTCAAGAAAGACTTAATCAAATCCTCCTTACACCTATCCATCTATTCCATCGCTATATATAGTACTATCTTATTCCATCCTACCCCACCCATCTAGTATCCATATATTTTACATTTTACCTCTTACCCAAAACGGCCTCACTTTCTTTTTCATGTTCCATCTTGCTCATTTCCACCATAACACATCTTCCACTATCCACACTTGCACCCATTCACCACCCTCAGTCTGTTTACCCACAAGCATAAAGAAATTATAAATATTAGAAACTTTCTCATTACTTTATTTTCTAGATCACCAGACTGGGCCACAGCAACGCGTGGCAGGGGATGGCTAATAAATAATAAAAACAGTCTCGCCAGTCGTATTGCCATTCTAGTCCATGTCCTTTAAACTCTACAAACATCTACTGTCTGAAGGCCTGGTCCCAAAGCCATGATTTTAGTTTCTTTCTAAAATCCAGGAGGGAGAGAGCAGATCTTACCTCATTTGGGAGTGTGTTCCATAGGTGAGGGGCCACCGTCGAGAAGGCCCTGTCTCTCGTCCCCGCCAGCCGCATTTGCGCAATTGACGGGAGCGAGAGCAGGGCCTCCCCGGATGATCTTAGATTACGAGATGGGACGTAGGGGTGGATGCGTTCGGACAAGTAAGCTGGGCCAGAACCATATAGAGCTTTATAGGTCAAAACCAGCACTTTGAATTGGGCTCAGAGATGGACTGGCAGCCAGTGGAGCTGGCACAACAGGGGGGTGGTATGCTCCCTGTATGTCACCCCAGTTAGTAATCTGGCTGCTGCCTGTTGGACTAGCTGAAGTTTCCGAACCGTCTTCAAAGGCAGCCCCACGTAGAGCACGTTGCAGTAATCTATTCGGGATGTAACCAGAGCGTGGATGACCATGGCCAAATCAAACTTCCCAAAGTACAGGCGCAGTTAGTGCACGAGTTTTAACTGTGCAAAAGCTCCCCCGGCCACCGCCAAAAACTGGGGTTCCAAGCTCATTTGGGCATATTGCATATTCAGGCCAAGTTTTGTCCAGATCATTGTTTGAGCCCACAGTGCTCTTTGGATGTAGAACTACAACTCCAAAATGTTGGTCAATTCTCTGGGAATTCTATGTGCCAAGTTTGGTTCAATTCCATTGTTGGTGGAGTTCAGAATAACTAACTACAACTATAAATCCCAGAGTTCAGAATGTTCTTTGATTATAGGTGGACTATAAATCTCAGCAACTACAACTCCCAAATGACAAAATCAATCCCCCACAACATCTCCAGTATTCAAATTTGGGCATATTGGGTATTTGTGCCAATTTGGTCCAGTAAACGGAAATGCATCCTCCATATCAGATAGTTACATTATGATTCATAAGAGTAGTGAAATTACAGTTATGAAGTAGCAATGAAAATAATTTTATAGTTGGGGTTCACCACAACATGAGGAACTGTATTAAGGGGTCACTGCATTAGGAAGGTTGAGAAACACTGGTTTATAGCAAGCTGGTCAGAGAATACCAAATTATCATGGAGAGTGCAACCACAAAATCGATACTTTTTTTTCTCTGAAGGACTCATCACAGTGCATGTCATCTCTGGGGATCACAACCAGACACAGTGAAGACATCTGCCCATGCGCTATGGTACTCTGCTGCTGAGTATGCATGCCCAGTGTGGAACACATCTCACCACACTAAAACAGTAGATGTGGCTCTTAATGAGACATGCCGCATTATCACAGGGTGTCTGCGCCCTACACCACTGGAGAAATTACACTGCTTAGCCGGTATTGCACCACCTGACATCCGCCGGGAAGTAGCAGCCAATAGTGAAAGGACAAAGGCAGAGACATCTCCAGCTCATCCCCTGTTTGGGTATCAGCCAGCACGTCAACGACTTAAATCAAGACATAGTTTTCTTAGATCTACAGAGACACTCGCTGGAACACCCCAGCAAGCGAGAGTCCAAAAGTGGCAGGCCCAAACCCAGCACCTCAATCCATGGGTGATACCAGATGAGAGACTCCCCCCTGGGCACTCAGAAGACTGGGCGACTTGGAAGGCGCTGAACAGACTGCGCTCTGGCACCACGAGATGCAGAGCCAATCTTAAGAAATGGGGCTACAGGGTGGAATCCTCGGCATGCGAGTGCGGAGAAGAACAAACCACTGACCACCTGCTGCAATGCACCCTGAGCCCTGCCACATGCACAATGGAGGACCTCCTTGCGGCAACCCCAGAGGCACTCCAAGTGGCCAGATACTGGTCAAAGGACATTTAACCAAATACCAAATTTGCAAAATCTCTGTGTTTTTTTTTTCCTTTTTCTTTTTAATCTGTGTGTTTGTTTTGCTCTGTTAGAATTGTAATACAATGGTTGCTGATGACATGATAAATAAATAAATAAATCACAGTGCATTACAATTTATGGTAAATTAAATTTAATGGCTCCACAAACTAAAGATTTTGTTAAGTTCATTTCAAAGTGGTAAACATATTAGTTACAATCAGCTCTCCACATTTATTGGGGTTAGAGGAAAAGGGACCCCCATGAAAGTGAAAAACAATGGCTAACGGCTGTCTTACCTGAGAGAATATCTCTTTAAGGGAATCCCCTGGTTCTTCACTACGACTCTATGATCAACATCTGCTGGAAGTTGACCATAAAATTGCAATGGATAACCTAGAGATTTCTAGAGAGACTATCTAAATCAAATTTGTGGTTAATGGAATCTATAAAAGGCAAACCCACAAAGGTAGAGGGTTGAGTGTACATGGATGTTGTTGTTCATTCGTTCAGTCGTCTCCGACTCTTCGTGACCTCATGGACCAGCCCACGCCAGAGCTCCCTGTCGGCCGTCACCACCCCCAGCTCCTTCAAGGTCAGTCCAGTCACTTCAAGGATGCCATCCATCCATCTTGCCCTTGGTTGACCCCTCTTCCTTTTGCCTTCCACTTTCCCCAGCATAATTGTCTTCTCTAGGTTTTGCTGTCTCCTCATGATGTGGCCAAAGTACTTCAACTTTGTCTCTAGTATCCTTCCCTCCAGTGAGCAGTCGGGCTTTATTTCCTGAAGGATGGACTGGTTGGATCTTCTCGCAGTCCAAGGCACTCTCAGAACTTTCCTCCAACACCACAGTTCAAAAGCATGGATAAGATGTGTGTATTAATTACACAGTAGTAGTCATGGTTTTTACCGATGAGCAAATTCTCTTTTCTTTTTTACAAGATGCATGCACCAGCCTCACATATGACAATAAGACATGTGTTACCTGTACAGTTTTCATTTGGGTAGCTGCAGGAGATTTTCTTGGTTTCTTGTTCAGTTGTTGCATTCCCATTGCCGGTTACACAGTTGAAAACAGCAAGACCTTGACACAAGAAAGGAAAAGAGATTGACTTAAACTATGTTTGTTCCAATGAAAATTACATTTTGGAAATAAAGTTAGCCTTCCCCTTATACTTCAAGTTGTATCCCATTTTCATGACTTCCTGATTGCGGCTTTATTGCTGAAGATCATTGATAATTTCAAGATACGAGGGGTATTTTTAAAGTAAGGTCCATTTGAACGTAAGTACACAATGAAAGTTTATTTCAAAAAAGTAAATTTATTTTCAGAAAGTGCATACTTCACTCTATTTTTGACATAGTTGCCAAGTTTGTTCAAACACTTATCATACCTCTGAACCAATTTTAAAATACCCCCTTCATAAAAACTTGCCGCCACCAAATGCCACCAAATTGTCTGTAATCAAAGAAGGGCGACCGGAGCGGTCCTCATCATGGACGTTGTCACGGCCATCTTTGAATTGTCGTACCCACTTACGCACTTTGCTTTCACTCATAACAGTATCACCGTACACTTCACAAATCTGTCGATGGATTTCTGCAGCAGGCGGGTTCCTTGCTGACAAAAACCGTATCACTGAGTGAACCTCACATGCAGAGGGTGAGTTGATAGTCTTAAACATTTTTAAAGCACAGAACAGAACCGTACAGGTTAGCTACAGAGCGGAAACTGAGCACAGTTGTTCCCGAGGCATGCTGGTACACGACGCACGTGCTCGTTGCGGTATGTGCGCGAACTACTAGTGTCTATAACAAAACGGACCTTACTTAAAAATACCCCTCGTAGAATCATAGAATTGGAAGAGACCTCATGGGCCATCCAGTCCAACCCCCTGCCAAGAAGCAGAAAAATTCATTCAAAGCACCCCCGACAGATGGCTAATCCAGCCTCTGTTTAAAAGTTTCCAAAGAAGGAGCCTCCACCACACTCCGGGGCAGAGAGTTCCAATGCTGAACGGCTCTCACAGCCAGGAAGTTCTTCCTAATGTTCAGATGGAATCTCCTTTCTTGTAGTTTGAAGTCATTGTTCCGCATCCCAGTCTCCAGGGCAGCAGAAAACAAGACAAAGTTGTATCACCCGTTAAGGTAGCAATCCTATGTATGCATATGTACATGTGAGTACATTTCCCATGCATTAAACACACATTATGTTTCAACCAGACTAATCCCAAGGAAGCCTCCTTCCAATGAGTGTTGTAATTATACAATATAATTACAAACACATCTGTTCTTAGCTGCCAAGCTCTATATTACAATACAGGAGTTTTCCATAAGTCTTGCACACCCATATATTAGATATCCAATACCAACACAAAAAAGAGAGAAATAATAAACATTGATTTAATTTGAACAAAAATTACATTGAGAAATTACATTATGTGTTCCTTGTTTTGCGGTGGTAATGTTGGTATTATTTCATTGACTCGTATATTTTTATTTGTCTCAGTGCTTTAGATGGAGAAGAAGCACAAGCAAAAAGGCTCCAGACCAGAGGGAAGTCTTCCTCGGTTTCAGGCTTCTACATCCCAAAACCCTGAACCTTTTCTAGTGGAGGTGTAGTTGGTCCAAGCCTAAGAGCCTTCAACTCTGGTCTCTGTTGAATCCAGATGCTCAACTCATTTCAATGAGCCTCTAGCTCAAGAACCAGCATGTTCATGTAATGACTGTGTATGAAAGTGACAAAGTTGAATCCTCTCAAAGGGTTCAGAGATCACCAGCTTCAGATCTCTTCCTTCTAACTCCATCAACAACAACAAAAAATCATTTCTCCTTGGTCAACTTATCTGCCTACTTGACATCATCTCTCAGTTTCCAGATCAGATCCAAGCAGTTCCCACAAGCTAGGGTCTTCCAGTTTGAGATTGTATAGTTCATGGTGGTGGTCTCCATCGCACTGTCAGCACCATTGTAACGCTGAGCACCACTGTTTATTGTTTATTGTTTCTCTTGAGCTAACTGCAAACCTGTCCACAGGGCATAACTAGGGATCGTGAACCATACGGTTCCGGTTATGGCGGTCAGCAGCGGCAACGCTGAGCTGCGCTGACGAAAAGAACAAAATCCTAGGAAATCCTAGGGAATCCCCCCTCCCTGACCACCAAATTAAGGAGGGGGTGAGATCAACACTCAACACGGGCATATTGAGCCCAGTAGACCGAAAGAGCCAAGGAGCCGAGAAGAAGGGACCAGGAGGAGGAGGCGAAGGTAGGCAAGGGAGCGCCGCCATTGTAACGCGGCCGGCTTCCCTCCTAAGAAACCTACCAGCATTATTGACCCTCCTGGTGAGGACTTGGCCGGCTGTCTGGTCGAGCCGCCTGTTGCCCGACTCCGGCGCTGGGCCTCCGCTGCCGCCTGCGCCGCCGCCACCGGCCGCCACCGGCTGGCCGGGCCGAGGCGAGACGCGCCGCGGCCGCCATCTTGCCGCGCTGTTCAATCCCGTTTGCAGCCGAGAGGGAGAAGCTGCTGGAGGACCTCCCGCCGCGAAGGAGGGCTGCTGGAGGCACTGCCGCTTGCCAAAGGAGGGCTGCGGGAGGAGGCCGTTGGCGAGAGAGGCAGCTGGGAAACCAAGAGGCGAGGAGGCCGACGGTGGACAATTGCGGAGGAGTGAGTCGGGACCCTGCAGCGGCCGGAGCCGCGAACGTTCGCTTGGCTGGGCCTCTATTGCGGGGGCCTCTGCCGAGCGGACCGCCACGCTGCGGGGGCTGCCCGGGCCAGGCCCTGGTCATTTAGATCATTTAGGCCTTGCTGCCCTACCATCTGGGCCTATTTCTTCCCTCCTCCCCTCCGTTGGGCCTTCGACGTCAGGCCCTGGTCATCTAGGCCTTGCGGCCCTACCATCCGGGCCTGCTCTCTTTCCCGCCTCTCCGCTGGGCCGGCTAGGCCTCAGCCACCTGGGCCCATCAAACAGCCTCGCCGCCGGGCTCAACTTCGCCTGGGCCTTCACCATCTTCGCCTGCCCGCTTGGGCCCTCACCATCCCCCATCATTTGGGCCCTCACCATCGGAGCAAGCCGCGGGTAGTTCTTCTCTGGTGCTGACCTTCATTGTGTTGATCGATACTGTGTAGACTGATATTGTGTAGACCTTGTTGTGCGGACCGTTTTTTGTGTTGACCGACAGTGTGCTGCCTGTTTGTGCAACTTAGCTGGATATAGACCAACTTGGGCTGACCACCGCCGTGTTGACCATCTCCGGAAGACTAAGAGACTCATCCGCTATTTTACATCAGCCGTCTATAGATTACATCTGAATCATAGCATTTTACCAACCGCTAATCTCTTTAATTACTGTGTTTACATATTGCGAACATTGCACGTTACGGTTCCTTCTCTATCTTTGCTGCTAATTGATATTAAGAACGTAATATAGCACTTTAAGGCGCCGGCCTCTGCTGCTAAACTGTACTTGCACTTACGCCCCGTTCCCGATCCCTCCTGCCGCACTTTAGTTAGTATTGAGGGCCAGTTTTGGGTATTTGTCGCACTTTAAGATCGTTGCACCTTATGAATCGCCCTAGTGGCACGCAGCCGTGGAGTTTACTACTGTTGCACTTTAAGACTCTAGCACTTTATGTATTATCTTACTTCCGCGGCTAAAGCGTTTACTACTCTTTATCACTACCATCCTACTGAAGTGTACTGTTATCACCCATGTGGTCCCCCACTCTCCTATGTATATTGTCCTTGATATTAGGGACTAGTGGAAGCGGCAAGGGAGGAAGCGGGCTGGAGCCCGTGAAGAACAATGAGGAGGGGAGGGGGGAGAGAGAGAATCAAGGTAATTGGCAAGAAAAAACGCCAACAAACCAAACAACTAGCAAAACAGAGTCTAAGACCTTGGTTATGGACTGCGGCATGGAGGAGGGGAGGTGTTCCACTAGCCGAGGGGCCCCCATAGAGGTCGTGGTGGGGAGGAGGAGATGCGGAAAAAGGAGACCTCAAATTCGGCCTAATTCGGACCGCTTATCAACATTAATAACCCCAAACCGGTCTCCTAAGGTAAATTGGTGTAACCAGGTGAGCGGGCCCTCTGGATTGAAGGTGGTGCTGCTGAACGCCAGATCTGTCAACGGAAAAACGACCTTTATCCAGGATTTAATCCTGGATGAGCGGGCAGATCTGGCGTGCATCACGGAGACCTGGCTGGATGAAGCTGGAGGAGTAAATCTGACCCAGCTTTGTCCTCCAGGCTTCTCCGTGCAGCACCAACCGAGATCCGGAGGGCGGGGAGGCGGGGTCGCAGTGGTCTATAGAGATTCCATCCATCTGACCAGGTGCCCCATCCCGCAGACCACAAATTTTGAATCCGTCTACCTGAGGGTGGGTGACCGGGACAGAATAGGGATTCTGCTAGTGTACCGTCCACCTCGCTGCACTACAGTCTCCCTACCTGAGCTAGCGGGGTGGTCTCGAGCCTGGCGTTGGAGTCTCAACGGCTTCTTGTGCTGGGAGACTTCAATATCCACGCCGAGGCGACCCTCACAGGAGAGGCTCAGGACTTCATGTCTGCCATGGCAACCATGGGGCTGTCCCAACAAATATCTGGCCCCACCCACTGTGCTGGACACACATTGGATTTGGTTTTCTGCCAGGGATGGGAACAGGGTGGCGGTGTGGAGGAGTTGTCCATCTCTCCGTTGCCATGGACCGACCACTTCCTGATCAGATTTAGGCTAATTGCGCCCCCGAACCTCTGCAGGGGTGGTGGACCCATTAAAATGGTCCACCCCAGGAGACTTATGGATCCAAATGGTTTCCTGACGGCTCTTGGGGATTTTTCCACCTTCTTGGCTAGCGACACTGTCGATGCTCTGCTCTCTGGAATGGGGAGATGGCCAGGGCAATTGACATGATCACTCCGGAACGTCCCCTCTCAAGTAGCCGAGTTAAACCAGCTCCTTGGTTTACTGAGGAGCTGGCAGTGATGAAGCGAAGAGGGAACTAGAGAGCGTGTGGCGTTCGGATCTGAGCGAGTCAAATCGAACACGGTTTGTGTCCTTTCTAAGGCCATATGCCGCGGCAAT